TTCACTACTGCTGCCGCTCCTTTTCCTCTACCACAAAAAATTAGTTCATAATTTTTAGTAATAAAAAAAATAGGCCGCAGAAAAATATTTTTCATTGACTACAGAAAATTAACTTTTATTTTAGTGAAAATATTTTTCATTAAAATATATATGAAACAAATCAACCTTAATAACGGAAAGAAAATAAAAATTATTATTTATTTATTTTTATTATTAAAATATTTATTTATGATGAATTTTTTTTTTCCCCATTTTTTCCATTCCCGCGCCCCAAAATCCCCAATCTCTTTAGAACAAAAAAAAACCCTAAATCTAATCGTCTCCCTCGCATCACTCTATCAGTCGCCTCTCTCTCTCTCTCTCTCTCTCACCCTCTCGTTTATCTCTGCACCGATCTCGTTCATCTCTGCACCGATCACTCTCTCACTCTCTCGTTGTTCATCTCATCGATTCGCACAGATCATCGCGCCGCCGATCTACTCACAGGTAAACTCTCTCTCTCAATCTCTGTCTGTCTCTCTCTCGGCCCGATGGTTGTTTTATATATATATCAGATATATCTCTGATCTAATCTGTCTCCCTCACTCTCTCATCTCATCAGATCAGTCTCATCTCTGTCCCTCCCTCTCTAGCCCCGATGGACTCACACTGTCTCACAGGTTAGCCTCTCTCTCTCTCTCTCTCCCTGATCTCTCATCTCTACACTGCACCGATTGAATTTGTGTGTGTAATGTCTCCCTCATTCAGTGATGTCTGTAATGTCTGTATGTTAATCTGAATCTGAAATGTTGATCTTAGTTGATCACACTGTGTAATCTGAAATCTGATCTTAGTTGTGTCTCACACTATGTAATGTTGATCTTAGTTGTGAAATCTGAAATCTGTATGTTAATTTTATTAATTCTGAAATCTAAATCTGAATCTGAAATATGAATTTGTTTTGTTTGATCTGAAAATTGATTCTGATTGTTAACCTTGTTTTTTTCTCCTTCTCATCCTTTCTTTTATACCTTCCTTTGTATAATAAATTAATCACCAATCTGTTATCTCAGTCATCTCAATCAAAACTGGAAAATGCAGGAGGGGAGAAGTACTTCTTGTAATACCTGGATATGACCTTAAGCCCTACTGGCAAATGCTACTTCCTTTTTCCTATGCCATTGTATCTGGTGCTGTAGGATCATGCTTGGTGTTGTTTGCAAAATCCCTGTAAGTAAGCTGAAGTTTTAAATTTTTATATTACATTGACCTCCTTTGAAATTTAGAGAAAATACAGCAAACCTCATAATTTTGACAAAATTACATTGAGTGCCCTTGAGATTTTAATTCATATAACTCTTAACCCTCTTTTCACCAATAATTTATTAGTTATATGGATGAAAAAATGATGTTGTCATCTCTTGTACACGAAAATGTATACTTTACGTTGTTTATTTTTGTGTTTTCGTACCATCTAGATTAGTTTTGGTGCATTTAACCTTACTAAAAGGGAGGTCAATGTAATTATGTCGAGACTATGAGGCTTAATTGTATTTTTTCCAAATCTCACGGGAGGTCAGTGTAATTTTCCAATTTTTATTTTTATTTTCCATCTTGGATGGTCAAAAAAAAGAAGACAAAGAAAACTAGAATTGAAATTCTTTTTGACATTCAATACCTTGATTTTTGCAGCTCTAACCTGCTAAGATTGTCCATGTCTGGTGGCTATCAGTTGCATAGCTGGTTCACATACTCCATGCTTTTATTATTTCTTAGTACGGCTAGCTTTTGGGTAATGTTTACATGAATAAGTCAATTTTTTTTCTTCATATTTCTACAATGTACGAGTTTGTGGAGACAATGAATTTGGGAATCCCTGATTTTATTCCTAATTTGTTACAACTGCAGATGGCAAGGTTGAATGAAGGATTATCACTCTTCGATGCAATACTTATTGTTCCTATGTTTCAGATTGCTTGGACTTTCTTCTCCATTTGTACAGGATTTGTATACTTTTAGGAATATCAGGTTCTTTCTCTGTCTCTCTCTCTCTCTGTGCGCATATCAGTACCTTAAGACTTTATCAAATCTAAATCAACTCTTAGTCAATGTGGTGTTAGGTTTATGTTTCAAGTAAACTGTCCAGCCCCTGAAACCACCCAAATATAAAGTTTAATAAAAATAAATTTATCATATAATAGTGATTAGTGTGTGTTTATCAAGTGTATGCAAATTAAAATGTGGTCTTATAAAATCTATGTATTCATATTTCACTACTTGATAAAGAACCGGCTAACCTCATTACACATTGTTTTGATTGTGGGTTAAAAGGAACAAAAACAACTATAGTGAGCTCAGCTTTGGTTTGAGACTGAACCAGACCAGATGAAATCAAGTTGTACTTCTTGACATAATGGGTCGGTGTTCTTTCCTGGTTATGTAAAACTGGGACAGCTGATTTATTCAAATAATTGGGATCAAGCGAGAGCAATTTGCTCTGGGGCAAATTGAGGTCAAATATCTTGCTCAGTTGCTCCATGTGGACTTGACGGTTAGATATGTCCATGTGGTGGGAATCATGCATGATGTATCCTGTAGAAAAAAGTGTTGCACCTTTGATGTTTACTCAATATTAACCCGCTTTAGTTTAGTCTGTTGGCATAGTCTGTTGGCATATGTCCAGTCTTGCTTCTCTTGAATTCACACACATTGGTAGACTATTGACTGTTGCTTAAGCAGGTATTTGGTGCTCTAAGGACAACAATGTTCATATTAGGAATAATTTCTGTATTCATAGGCATTTCTTTGCTGGCACCAGACGAGGCAAAAGGTATAGTTGTGGGTCATGGATATAGTTGTGGGTCATGATTTCTGTATTCATAGGCATTTCTTTCCATTAGAGCTATTAGAACTCCAATATTAGAGCTCTAAAGCATTTATATCGTCTCCCTCTCATCTTTCCTAAAAACCATAGATCATAAATTATTGCACAAAAAATACAGAAAATAAAAAAAAAATTAATTTTTAGTGGGCACCCTGTTTTTTTATTTTTTCGTAAATTTTTTTTCGTTACACCTGATTAACTACCATATATAGAGTTAATTGTAATCACATATTAGTATTCTTCTCACAATTCTTTATGATGGACCCTCTGCATGTGAGTTCCTACAAAATAAATTTGTGTATTCTACAATCCAAGACAGGTAGGAACCCTTTAAGTCCAACCCTTCCCACTCCCATCAGACATGAAAAAATTCCCCAGGTATATTACAATAAGAGTTTATTACACTATTTTGGACTACATTGAATTCCATTATTATTATTATTATTATTATTATTATTATTATTATTATTATTATTATTTTTTGTGAGCAGGGAAAGCTTTGGTTTCTCCAATTGAGAGATATGCAGTTGTTCCTGATGACAACGTAAGTGTTCTTTCCACAGTCTTCATTGTCTTCATTACTGGTGTTTAAATAGTTGGTTTCTCCAAAAGATTATAATTTGCAACTGTTATCTATTTATCTAAATTGAGATCTTGTTGGAAATTTTTCAATTTTTGTAAGAGCATTTAAATATCCAATGTGCTGATTGGTGAATTTTAGATTTTATTTTATTATTTTATTTTTTTTTAGGATTTGGGTGAATTTTATAATTTAAATATGCTTTTATGAACATGTACAGTTTAATTGTTCTTTGTAAAATATTGAATTTGATGGTTTGATCAATTTTTATTTTTATTTTCTGTTATGATGTTTTTGTGAATAGAATGTAAATAATCAGCTCTTAGAGAGAGAGACGGCACCACCGTCGGAAAAAATAGAAAATTTTAATATTTTTATTAATTTTGTTCCAGGTTTTACTTTTTGCAACGACATTATACTGTCGCAAAAAATAGAAATTTTATTATTTAAAATAGAAATTTTATTATTTTTTAATAATTTTTGCGATGGCATTACACTGTCGCAAAAAATAGAAAATTTCATATTTTTTATACTTTCTGCGACGGCACCACACCGTCGCAAAAAGTAGTTTTTTTTTTTAAAAAAAGACTATTGGCGACGGTATTTTTTGCCGTCTCAAATAACAATTTTAGCGACGGTAAAATATGGCCGTCGCAAAAAAGTCAAGAAATTTCAAACGTTATTAGCGACTGCACGGTGCCGTCGCAAAAAAGTCAAGAAATTTCAAACGTTATTAGCGACTGCACGGTGCCGTCGCAAAAAGATAAAAAATGCTGTCGCAAAACATTAGCGACGACACTTACCGTCGCAAAAACGCTTTTGCAACCCCTGCAGTTGCGACCCCCCTCTTGCCGTCGTAAAAAGTCATTTTGCCGTCGCAAAAAGTATTAGCGACAAAAAGTCAATTTTTTTGTAGTGACTCGACATAACATTAGCACCACTCTAATGGGTTAAAATAGGGAAGCACATCATCAACCAAATCATATCTTTGCACACCCACACGTGACAACTATTCTTTTATTTTTTACAATGTCTTTTTTTCAGTGACTACTCGCTTTCGACAACAAACAACATTACATGGCAAATCAAGCTAACATCACTTTATAACAAACATCACGATAACAATACACCAACTTCACAAACCTATACATATCATAACAACTATCACCATATACGTAACGTAAACCCAAATCATACAACATTACAATAGAAAACTCAAACCACATAACAAAATAGATACCTTCTTGCTTTTGTATCATGTTACGATGTCCCAAATCTACATACCTTGACGCTATGTTTTCGAACCATAATCAAGGTATTGCAAGTGTCGTTCAACAATTGCCGCTCAATTCACCCTTTATGCTTCATTAATCGCATACAGTGACTGAATCGATGTCATATCTGGGTTCCCCACATCTAGGGTTTCCATGCTTCATTTTTGGAGATGCAAACGTTACAACCACCATTCCATTTCAAACACTCCAATGTTTACAAACTAAACATTGACCTCCCAGAATCTTTCTATTTCCCCGGCTTCAACATCGACCACAAAGGAAATGAAGATTGCCTAATTTCGTAAATTCGCACCGTGTAAAATACCATTAATGTCCATTACTTTGTAACATGCGTGCTCATTACAACACCCCTTATTGGTAATATTGTGTATAATAGGACATTTTCGTCTATAACAAATCTTTCAGGACCAAACAGTGCATAAGTCCACAATTTAAGATTTATTGGTGCATCATTCATAACTTAATTGGATAATAAATAATAATTAAATAAAATGGGCAAATTTAAGAATCTTTATGACATGTCATATAATGCCACATAATCACCTAAGGAAGATAATAATAAAAACATTAAAATAACCACTGATGGGCGCTTGGTGTTTGTTTATTTGGTAATTTTTTTTGTTTTGTTTTGTTTTTATTTTTATTTTTTATTTATTTTTTACTTTCGTCTTTAGTAAAAACATTTAGATTTCTACATTCAACTCGGTAAGATGAATCAAAAAATTTAACAAAAAATTATTAAAAATAGTTCAAGACAAAAAAATAGTGAAGTCTTTAGGCTTATTTTGGCTTTTTCATTTTTTTTTTGGAATTTTGGAATTTCTTAACTATTTAGATTCGTCTACATAAGATAGATCAAAAATTTTGATAAAAAATCATTAAAAGCAAAAAAATAAAAATAAAAATAAAAATTTTAGCCAATAATCAAACTTCCCAACCACCCTAAATTAGACGATCTCCAATCCTTCATCAAATCTGTTATCAAATTCAAATTTGATAAAAAAAAATGCTTAAATCGTGAGTTCCAACCCTTTCATCAAACTGATATCAAATAAAAGGAGAGTTACTTTTTTCATCAAATCAATGGAGCTTTATTCTTTTATCAAATTTGTAGGCGACCATTAGGTCAGACGTTCTCTCGAACAATCGATTTTGAGATGAATTTGATGAAACTTTAAACCGGACGGCTGGCCGAACGAAGGCTTAGATTTGATGAAACTATTGGAGTATGAGAAATACTTTCAAAGAGTGTGCACCATGTACATCTTATAACTAAAAAGAAAAATGACATAATTTTAATTTTGAAAAATGTTTGGGGGCCCTAATTCTGTGACTCAAATGTGGCTCAAATGGCCAAAACGACGTCGTTTTGGCCATTTTGATGTTGTTTTGTACTCAAAACGACGTCGTTTTGGCCATTTGAGCTACATTTGAGCCACAGAATTTGGGCCCTCTACCATTGCTCTTTAATTTTTGAATCGTAACTAAAAAAAAATAAAATAATAACCAAACACAATATGACGCATAATTAAAAACTCATAAGTTATAACTAAAATAATGTTATTACTAAATAAAAAAAATTGATCATAACTAGAGAAAAAATTAATATAATTAAGGCCGTACATAATATACCATTTTTAAAGATGTGTGTATTAAAATTTTCATTTATTAACAAAAAAAAAAAAAAAAAACAAAAATAAGAATCAAATAGTAAAATGATATTATAAGAAATAGTAGACAAGTATAACCTCCATAATATGCTAGATCAAAACCCATTAACCCACTGTATTCGCCACATGTGTTTCTAATTCTTCTCCTACATATATGGAGCGCAATTCCGATAATGCCCTCAGGACCCAACCCAGCGACCGCATCAAGCTCAACGTCGGCGGCAAACTCTTCGAGACCACCGTCTCCACCCTCTGGTCCGGCGGTCCAGACTCCCTCCTCGCCGCCCTCTCGAACCGGCCTCGCCAAGATCTGCTCTCAGACCCGGTTTTCATAGACCGCGACCCTGAAATCTTCTCTGTACTTCTCTCTCTCCTCCGGTCCAACCGCCTTCCCTCCACTTCTCGCCGGTTCACCAAACAAGAACTCGCCGATGAAGCCTCTTACTACGGCATCGAGTCTCAGCTCAAATCGGCGATGCTGCCTAGTCGACTCAGCGGAATCGACGCTTCCGTTGTCGCCACCGTCAGACCGGCTTCCGACGGCGTCGTCTCCGCCTTCGCCGCTGACGACGGCAGCGGATCGCTGTGGATGGCTCACGGCGGTCAGATCTCGGCCTACGACTCGAATCTCACTCACGCCGGAACGATTCGGACTCACCTGGATCAAATCACCTCGATCCACCGAATCCGTCCCGAGATCGCCGCCGTGGGATCAGACACAACGTCGGGGCTCCACTTCTACAGCCTCTCAAACGGGCGACATGTCGGATTTGCTGACTGGACCGACCCGTCCGATCCTCGGATCTACAAGGCCCGAGTCACCGCCATAGCTGACTCGCCCGACTCAGTCTTCTCTGCCTTCGATTGTTACCACAGAGAGAATTGCGTTCTCGTAATCGACAAATCGTCGCTGAAAATCTCGTCGGAGTTCGCGCGGCAATCCGGTAATTCTTCCAAAACGATGGTCGCCGGAAAGCTGACGTACTTGCCGGATTCCGGCGTCCTCGTCGGAAGTGCCGTCACGTCCGGTGCGTTCGGTTACTCCGGTTACGTCCGGTTGTGGGACCCTAGATCCGGAACGGTGGTTTGGGAGACGAACGAACCAGGCTCGGGCCGAAGCAGCAGGTTCGGAGACTCGTTCGCAGACGTTGATGTTGACACGGACGAGTCGACTCTGTTCAAGGTCTGTTCGAAATCTGGAGATTTGGCAATGGCAGATTTGCGTAAATTAGGGGAAGATCCATGGGTATATTTGGTAGATAAAAACCCTAGTATGAGAAACACTGGTGGAGGTAGTGATAGTGTGATTCATTGCTATAGGAAGCAGGTGTTTGTGGGTAGAGATGGTGGGTTGGAGGTGTGGTCTAGGGTTCAGGAGAGAGAAGGAAATGTTGAGAGAGAAAATGAGTTTCATGAAGGTTCATATAAGAGGAATTATGTAGATAAAGTTGTGGATTCAGAAAGAGGGGTTATTACGAAAATTGAAGGTGGTGGGGATAGGTTGTTTGTTTGTAGAGAAGATTCTGAAGGCATTGAGGTGTGGGAAAGTTCGGGTTTTTCGGGTGCAGTTTCAATTTCCTGACCCCCGAACAGGGTTGATTGTGCAAAAACTGAATCTTTGAAGAGGCTTCGTCTTTGTCTTATTGAATTTGATTGGGTTCATACTGATTTGTTTCACAAGGTATTATATTGATCATAGTGCAAGAAAATTTGTTTTGTATACCTTTGATTTGATACACTTTATAACAAATTCTGAAGGAACTTGGATTAATTGGAAATCAAATTTGCTCAAGTTGTGGTTTTTGATTTTGACTCTAGGAATATGGATTGTAGAAAAATTTGAATCTTTGAAGAGATTTTGTGCTCTCACCTGGAATTAGCTTGTGATGTTATGGGTTTTTTTACATGTTATTGAATTTGTGTTGATGTTGACACCTTCAAGCAATACTGAATTGATCATTCATACAAATGGTTGTGTCAATGGCGACCTTTTCAAACAATTCTGTATCGATCCGTAACATATAAATGGCAAAATAAAAGTGCAAGAAGTTTGCTTTGTGAAGGTCTGATCTCATTTGCATGGATGTGAAGACTGTTGGAGGAAATTTGATGGATGCTGAAGAGGCTTTGTCTTCTTTTATTGAATTTGATTGGGTTTATACTGAATTGTTTCACAAGGTACTGTTATTGATCATTTCATGGAGATCACAGGGAAGACAAATGCAGGAAAATTGGTTGTGTGACTTTGATTCAATGTGTTATGGTGAGTAGTTCTCAAGAATCTTGGATTTATCAGTTGTCAAATTTCATCGAGGTGGTGTTTTTGATTTTGTAACCCTAGGAAAATGGGTTGTAGGGCAGCCACTTCAAACAATACTGTATTGGCCATTTCATTAAATGGTTATGTCAATGGAGTCACGTTCAAACAATACTGTACTGAACATTGCATAAATATAAATGACAAGACAAAGCAAGTGCAGAAATTATTTTTTTGTGAAGGTCTGATTTCATTTGCATTGGTTTGTGACTTATTGAGAAAATTTGATAGATGGTGCCTGAGATCATATTCTGATTCAGTATTGATCCCAACATGGTGATGGAAGGCTCTTAATAACTGGGCAATGATCCATACCCAGATGATGATATGGCTCTCTGTTTCTGTGAGTCATCAATTGGACTACAACATTGTTTATTGGGGCATCTGAGTTGGATGATTGGATAATGTCTCCACTTGTCTATGGTCTTCTTGCAGGGTGCTGATTGGCCCCAGATGAAGGTTGACAACTTGACATAGACCGGTGGGGAGTTCGAAGGATGCTTATCCATTAACCTTGTAGTGGCAACCCCACCTTCCATTTCCTCCATTTTTTTGCTCTGTTCTTTGGCTCGGCAAACATAATCATGATGATGTCAATCTTGTTCATGCTATTTGGGCGACTATGTCATGCCATTCTTGTTCAGTCTTCCCTATAGTTTTGTAAGTCTCCAAGTCTTCCCTGGTTTCCAAGATTTATTGATAATAATGTTATGAGGTTACTGTAATTTTTAAATTGATTCTGTTAATTCTAGTATGTTACATACCCTCATAAAAAGTTTTAAGGATAGCAAACCTTTAAATGGAAAAATAAAGCACGTACAAGAAAGTTTATTTTATGAAGGTCTGATTTCATTTGCGCTGGTGTGATGACTTTGGGAGGAAATTTGGTGCATACAATCATATTCTGATCAATGTTCATCCCAATATGGTGATGGAAGCCTTTTAATAACCGGGCAATGATCCATACTTAAAGAAGATATGATTCTTTATTTATTGGATTCATCAATTTGACATGTTCAGTGGGCATTTGAGTTGGATGATATCAGGACCAGAAGGCCGGGTCCTGATTGGCTCCAAAGGCTGGTTGTAGATTGACTGGCGGGACTTTGGAGGATACTTTTCCATTTTCTTTCTAGTGGCCACCCCACCTTCCTGTTCCTCCTCCGTTTTGCATCTCTGTAATTTGGCTCAGCAACCATCATGATGATGATTCACATTCTTGTTGACGCTATTTGGGCAACTATATGATGCCATGGCTTTTTAGTCTTCCCTATACTTACTGTAAGTTTCTAAGTCATCCTGGTTTCTGAGATTTTTCTATAATAATGTTGTGGAGTTACTGTTATTCTAAGTCATCCTGGTTTCTGAGATTTTTCTATAATAATGTTATGGAGTTACTGATAATTTCTAAATTGGGAAAGGCAATTATAATAAATTTATTGCTATACTTCTTGAATACCCTTGTGTTGTGTCCAAATAGACAATGCTCTTTTAAATAATTTGCACTTGATTCTTTCTCTAATTTTTTATTGTTTCTGTTGATTAATACGGATGATTGAACAACTTTGCTCACTAGACTCAATTTGGGTCTTGTCAAAAAATACTCCATTGTGTTTATGTAAACTTTTCATTTAGCTGATTGTCACAAAATGTCCAAACAGATGTCAAAAATCGGATAAAATAATGATAGTTTTACTCTATTTTTTGTTCCAAACTTTTACCAATATTGGTGTTATATTCATAAGCATCTGCAATTGTATTTTTGTTATTCTACTTTTATCCCGAGTTTCACATTTTCCTTTTCTGTAGATAATTATAATGTTGTAAAATGGCATACTTTTTCCCTTTCTCTATTTATTGAATGGACCTGGAAATTAATATTAGCTCTCAAAATAAAACATCAATTTGCTTGAATTGAATATTCTAAAAGTTTGCTTCTCACCTCTAGTAAGGTATCAATGAAGAATGTGATTTTGATGAATTGACGATGGAAAAAGAATTAATTTATAGAAAGAATTACGGCAATTTTTTAATTGTGGAAGAGGAGCTAGTGTTCATTTAATGTTTTTGAGTAATGTAATTATAACTCCCAGGTACAGTCAGGTTGGTTTGAGAGGCTCGGATCATGATAATTAATTTCAACACTATATGTGTTTATTGATAAGTTGTATTTATTATTTATCGTAAATCAGTTGTCTTTTGCAGGATCATCGGAATGGAGCGTGGTCATTAGCTTGTTCATGGTCTAGCTAGGAAAGCTTTGCAGCAATTCTCTCTGAGCCCAGGTGTCATCTTGCATATAGTTTTGTTTTGTTTTGTGTTTGTCCTGGATTGTAAGGTATAGCTTTGATATCTTTATACCCTTTTTTTTTTTTATATACATTTTAATGAAGATCTTCTGTTGGAGAAAAAGTACTTAATATTTCTACTATCATACAAACAGAGTTCTTGATCTGAAACCAACTGGCTTAAGACATTTCATGATTTTGATGAACAAAACACACTACATTATTTCACTGCAGACAAAAAAAAGGATGCACACATTATTTTGCCACATTTGTTTAATGGGCTTTTTTTCTAACACTAGTGCAGCCATGTAAAAGTTGACATTTGGGACCAAATTGAAACTACCAGGAAGATGATAATCAAAAGTTAGTCCTTAATGAGTCCAAGAATTGTTGGAATATTGCTTGCAAATATGATGCCATATGTCTTCTCCGTTGGGTGCGCCGCATCCCAAAATACATACTTTGAGGTGTCAGCACATACCGGAGTAGTTTGGTTGCACTTCCGTCCTATTTCATAAAGTCCCGTCCCACAGCAACCCTTGTTGACCGCAGTAAATCCATATTTGTTGGGATTCTGTATAACGTCGAGTAATGGTTGTTCAAAGTCTATATAAGCAATCTTTGTGCCGAACTTTGATAACTTGCTCTGCATAGACTTCAGTTGATTCTGGAGCAGTGAATTAAAATCTCTGACAAAGGAATTCTGATAATCAACACAGTTACGTTGTGGAGATGCCTTTGGTCCGGGAAGTAGAGTGATAACAATAGGGATGCAACCCAGTGGTGGTAGACCTGTAACTGCGATTTTTCGAGCCCCTTGGTCCGATAATCCCTATAAATTTAAAAATAAAATAAAATAAAATAAAAATTGTGATTAGTGTGTTCAGTAGAAATGAATGGTTAGGTTGTTGGATGAAAAGAAACCTGAATGAATTGTTGCATGAGTTGGAGCACGAACTGCTCGTAATCGGGTAGTTTATAAGTCTGATATCGAGCAGTTTGATTGAGTCCATCTCCAAAATAACTGAAAGCAAAATCGTCCGATCCGGCATTCACATAGAAGAGGGCTTTCTTGATCTGATTTGCAGCTCTCTTCTTTCCGATTTTGTTCTGGAGTTTGGCCTTGTACTGTTTGAAATACTCCAGCTGCGTTGACATTGGGATTGCATTCTGGAAAATTTTGAAAATTCAGTTTCAAATTACTCTTAATTCTAAATCACTCTAGTTAAAAAATAAATAAATAAATAAATAATTTCATATATAAATTTATTATAAAAATATCAAAATATTAGTATGATGCCAGTACTATTTTCGGGTTGCTGGGAAACATGTTACAGAGTTTGGCAACAACTCTTTTTTTGTCACATTTTTTAAAATTTTTTTTGAACTTAAGTCATTTTTTAAAATTAAAACACAATTTATTATTTATTATTTATTTAGCTTCTTCTATATACTTGAAGGCAATAATTATTTTTTTTAAGAAAAAAAAAACTAGAAAATTTTTAAAAAACAAAGAAAATGAACTTCTTGGGCATTTTTAATTATTATTTTTTTTAGTGTCTAGTCTAGTAAGACTAAAAATGTTTTAAAAAAATAAAAAATAATCTTTAAAATAAAATTCACTTAAGTTTAAAAAAAAACTGCTAAAAAAGGCATTTGTTAGCTCTATTGAGCTTTTTTCGTTATATAGTTATAAACAAAAATCATATTAAACACTTGTCATGCAACTCTTAAAATAAAAAAATTATAAGTAGTCTCTGTAAACTGCACCAAACAATTCAATAAATTCTTAGAGAAGAATCTAAATCAAGGAAGGGAGAGAGAGAGAGAGAGAGACGCACGGTTGTGTTTGTTGTAAGTGGATCAAAGCCACTGGTGGCGGAGGCAAAACTAATTGCCGTGGGTTGCTCCGTCAGGTACGAGTTAAGTGCAATTTGATCCAAAAATGGACGCTGGTACTTTTTAGCACCCAAGCTGTATGCTGCACTTTAAAAAACTACTAAATCAGCACTCAAATCCATCCTACACGTTACACTGAGTTTAAATTTAAATTTTAATCACTTTTCCAAGCACATTAGATTAAAAAAAATTTAGCACAGAAACTGAACACACCAGTGATTGGATTCATCTTGATACCCATATTAAAATATTACAAATTTTGCATGGAAACTATATATATATATGTATATACGGAACCAATTAAAACCCACCAAGAAAATCAGGGAAAAGCCTCCCATTGGAAAACCTCCCAGTGGGAGTATGGTTCACAAAATCTCTGCCATAAGGAGGGAAATTGCTCTTAGAATTAGTCTCAATGTAATTATTGTTTCCCGGATCAACGAAAGAGTCACCAAAGGTGTAAACAGATCGGAAAAAGTTGCTGGAATTTAACAGAGTTTGAGCTTTTGAAACAAATGCTAAAACAAAGAGAATAAGATGAATAGAAAGACACAACAGTGAATGTTTATAAGAACTCATATTTGGAGCAAAGAGAAGTAGAATGTTTTTTTTTAAGCCTTGGTGACTCAATTGTGAGAGGTTTGGTTGGGAATTTATGGGGAAGATGGGTATGATTGTGGATGAAAGAAACGGAATGAAGACAGTCAAGGGAGTTGAATCTGATGTACCATAGAAGAGCACTCATGAGTCAAGTGAGCTATCAAGTCTACTATGATGGAAGTGGAAGGGAATGTTGTGCATTTCAGTGGTGTGACTCTTACCAGTTCGATCAATCACCTCCAACTGCACGAGTTGTCGATAAAATTTTCCTTTATTTTTTTGATTAAGGTGGGAACATATTATTTTTAGTAACTTTTTGATTTTTTTAGTTAAAATATAAGGTTAAAAAAATTAGTATGTTTACAATGATTTTTTGATTTTATACGAAAAATGTGTAAAAAATAGAGAGAAAATAAAATTTTTGACTTTTTAATATAAGTTGTTGACTTTTTAATTTTTTTAGTGACTTTTTAAATTTTAAGCTAAAATAGTGAGTTGCTAAACGAGACCTAATTAGTTAGAGAATTTATTACTTCTTTTATTTTTTACAATTAAAGCAATGTTTTTAAAGTTGAATACTTGAGTTTAAGAAATAATTTTTTTAAAGAAAATACGATTTTGGTAAATGTCTAAGTCTTTTGGCGATGGTAGGTCAACATGATTGGGGTTGTGTTTGATCATAAATTACAGGAGGTAGTCTTCAAAGAAATAGGAAAAAGTGAAAATGAAATAAATTCAAACTTGACTTAAATTTGACTAATTTTTATCGAGTTATTCAGTACTAATGCAAAACTTAATAATAATAATAATAATAATAATATAGTCCAACAAATAATATAAATTAGGAAAAAAAGGACCTCATGGAATAAAAGTATAAATATATGGGACTAATTAGGTTATAATTTTCCTTGGTGGACTTATTGGGTTAAAACACTTCTAAATGGGATTTATCAATAAAAAATCCTTAAATATAGTACAATTGGCCACTTTGATATGTGGATTATATTTTAAGGTTCTATATGAATGAGGTTATGAATAGAAATATAAGGATATAAGTTATACATAAGAATAATCGAGACAATCTCAAAATAGGATAAGAACATATAATTATTTTTTATTATTGAATGAAGGAAGAAAGTAAGTCCTAATCCAGACAATCTCAAAGAAAAATGGTATCAGTTACCCTCCCCAACCAAATGTCTAATTAATTAAAAACGATGTGAGTTCAGATGGTATCCTCTCCTCTCTCTTGTGTCCTGTTAGTGTAGTGCATTATGTTAGTGTATCATTATCTTTGTGTAGTGTAGCATTATGTTAGTGTATCATTATGTTAGTGTAGTGTAGCATTATGTTAGTGTAGCATTATGTTAGTGTAGTGTAGCATTATGTTAGTGTAGCATTATGTTAGTGTAGTGTAGCATTATGTTAGTGTAGCATTATAGTGTAGCATTATATTAGTGTTATTTAATTGTTCATAGGCATCCAAGGCATCCTCTATAAATAGAGTGCCTTCTTTGTGTAATTGACATATACAACTTATAGAAACAATTGTGCCTCTAGAAAGACTTCATGCTATCAAAAATCTACAAATCACCACTACCTATAGTGTTAAATCTCAGGCCAACATCCTTTCTAATTTTTTGAATTCCATTAATCACAATGGCCTTAGCCTTTTCTTTATTAGTACCACACCTGAAAGAAATGAACCTCTCACTAGATTCTTCCTGAACTCTTTTCCCTTTTGTTTCTTTTGCCATTTTCTTGATTCTCTCCTTGTGAAGTTTCTCTAGCTCTACCAAGAGAACTCTTGGATTTTTTGTTTTCTTCTTCTAATAATTCGACTAAAAATCAGTTGCTATCATTGATTTCCACAATGTTGCGAAATGGATCATCATCAACTGCCATGACCCCTTTATCTTTTTCAGCATACTTCAACATTCCCTTCTGAATCAAATCCTATACACAATTGTGAAATGTGACACAATTATTAGTTATCTGCTTAAAACCTTCCTCAATGAAGGCCTTGAACTCTTCATTTGTCAACCCTTTTCCCTAAGACTTAACCTCTTCTTCATCAATTACAACTGGACCCAAATCCTCATCATATAGCACAGCTTCTATGTTATTAACATCAGCAACAAAGGGATTTGTATCTGCCCAGTAAACTTCCATCCCTTCTTTACCACCATTGGTTAAGAAAATCAATGCTTGGTGCAAAGAAGAGGGTACACAACCATTCAGGTGTATCCAATCTGTACCTAGTAGCACATTGTAGTTAGAGGTGGAGTCTATTACAAAGAAAGTTGTTCCCATAGACCTAGAACAAACCTGAAGTTGCAAAGCCATTACTCCTTTGGCTTTAGATGATCCACCAGCAAAATTACTTATATTTACATCAGTAGGGAGCAAGTCATCGACAGACTTCTCAATGGCTTTCAATGTTCTAGAAGGCAGAATGTTAACACAATAGCTCTATTGTCAACTAATACTCTTTCTACTAGTACTCTATCAAGGTAGGCCCTAACATACAGAGGCCTTAGATGCCTGATGAGCCTATCTTCTGGCTTTTGCAGCACAACTTTCTCCCAATCGATAGATCTTACTACCTTAATTGTCCTTGGTAACTTGGCCTATGTCTCAGTCATTGCTATTTGAACCACAAGCTTAGACAAGTCTTCCACATCACCTGCCAATTCATCTGGTTGGTCAGGCTTGGCCTAGACCTTATAAGGAATAGCCATAATCATATTGCACTCCTTAGATGGAGGTAAAGAACCAAACTCAATGGCAGCCAACTTCTCCCCAAAGTCACCACCAGAACTATCTGACTTGGCTTTTTCTTCTCTGACTTCTTCATTAACATTCATGTTATCAATGGCCATCTCCTGGTCTTGAAATTGTTTCATTGCCACATCTTTCTCATTGTTATCATCTTCATTAGACATTAAATCCTTCTTCAATTCTTTCAACTTCTGTCTCAATAAAGCCTTCTCAGAGAGCTTCTCAGCAGGTCTGTCATTTGCCTTTTCTCGCCCCCACTTTCCTTTTTAAAATCTAAATTGGTTGTACTGGATGGGCTTTAGAAGTTGAACGCTTCACTTCCTTCCCTCCAACAGTAGGAACCAATTTATCTCTAGTCTATACCAAATCTTACTTTCCAGTTGGCTTATCTTCTGCAGCTCTAGACATCATAGCATGAAACCTTCTCTACTCTCTCCTTTTTTGAGTTCTAGTTTCTCTCATTTCCCTTCAACCATTTGAAGGGAATTTTGGATAAACTACTCCTTGCCACACCAAATGTAGTGGTATTGGAGGTTATACCATCCTTGGTTGAACCAGATGCATATCTGGCCTCATTCTTTGGCCATTATACTGCTGTTAAAACCCCCCCAAATGGTTTAGAAAATTGTTGTTGTCCCCCACATGACCTTCCAGGCTATTGTTGGCCATTATGTGGAGTCACAAACTGCTGCTGGCCACTATATGGCCTTGTTAGAATATTTGGATTCCTATATGGCTTTGAACCCGTTTGTTGTTTTAGCATGGCTCTCACATTACTTGATCCTCCGAAACATGGATGAACAGGAGCTCCTTGGAACAAAAATGGAGCATCATCCTTGCTGTAGTTCTCTACAGAACCAAATATCCCTGGGTCTGACCCATCATAAAGCAAGTAATCATTGTCGAAAATCTACAGATCACCACTACCCATAGTATTGAACCTCAGGCCAACATTCTTTCCAATTTTTTGAATTCCATCTATCACAATTGCCTTGGCTCTTTCTTTTTCAGTGCCACATCTAAAACAGATGAACCCGTCACTATGCTCTTCTTGAACTTTCTTCTCAAGCTCGTCTTGTTGCCAAGGGTTTCAACCAGGAATATGGTATTGATTTTGAGGAGACATTCTCTCCTGTTGCTTGGCTTACCTCTGTTCGCAGTGTACTTGCTGTTGCTGTTGCTGCTGCTCGCCACTGGGGGCTCTTTCAGATGGATGTCAAAAATGCTTTCCTCAATGGTCATCTTATTGAGGAGGTCTACATGCAACCTCCACCTGGGTCCACTTTTCCCCCTCATCAGGTTTGCAAACTACAGCGTGCTCTCTATGGCCTCAAGCAAGCACCTCGTGCTTGGTTTGCTACGTTCAGTTCTACCATTCATGATTTTGGGTTCACCTCTAGCTCCTATGACTCTGCTCTTTTTATACGGACTACTTCTCATGGTACTACTCTTCTTCTTCTGTATGTGGATGATATGATTATCACTGGTAATGATGAAGCTGGTATTCTCCACCTCAAACAGTTTCTCCACCGCCAGTTTGAGATGAAGGACCTTGGTACTCTTAACTACTTCTTAGGCGTTGAAGTCTCTCATGATTCTACTGGTTCCTATTTGTCCCAGGCCAAATATGCATCCGATCTTCTGGCTCGTGCTGGTCTTACTGATTGCAAAACTACCTCTACTCCAGTTGATCCTCAGATTCGTCTCACTCCTCTCGATGGGACTCTTCTCTCTGATGCTACTCTTTATCGCCAGCTCATCGGCAGTCTTGTCTATCTCACAGTAACTTGTCCTGACATTGCCTATGCTGTTCACATTGTCAGTCAGTACATGTCGGCTCCTCGCACTCCCCACTATACTGCTCTACTCCGCATCCTTCGCTACCTCAAAGGCACTCTGTTCTATGCTCTTCACTTCTCTGCTTCATCCTCTCTTGAACTGCGTGCCTTTTCCGATGCTGACTGGGCTGGGGATCCTACGGATCGACGCTCCACCACGGGATTCTGCTTCTTCTTAGGGGACTCTCTTTTTGCTTGGCGTAGCAAAAAATAATCCCTCACTGCCCGCTCTAGCACCGAAGCTGAATACCAAGCTCTTGCTGATACTACTCAGGAACTTCTCTGGCTTCGCTGGCTCCTTGCTGATATGGGTGTTTCTTCTTCTGATCCTACCCCTCTCTATTGTGACAATCAGAGTGCCATTCAGATTGCTCACAATGATGTTTTTCATGATCGCACCAAACATATTGAGATTGATTGTCATTTCATTCGCTAGCATGTTACTTGTGGTACTGTTCGTCTTTTCCCTATCGCTTCCGTCGATCAACCCGCTGATATCTTCACTAAGGCTCATCCTCCTAGCCACTTCAATGATCTTGTTTCCAAACTCAACTTGGTTGATGCTTTCCCTCCTTGAGTTTGCGGGGGGATGTTAGTGTAGCATTATGTTAGTGTAGTGCATTATGTTAGTGTATCATTATCTTTGTGTAGTGTAGCATTATGTTAGTGTATCATTATGTTAGTGCAGTGTAGCATTATGTTAGTGTAGTGTAGCATTATGTTAGTGTATCATTATGTTAGTGTAGTGTAGCATTATGTTAGTGTAGCATTATGTTAGTGTAGTGTAGCATTATGTTAGTCTAGCATTATTTAATTGTTCATAGGCATCCAAGGCATCCTCTATAAATAGAGTGCCTTCTTTGTGTAATTGACATATACAACTTATAGAAACAATTGTGCCTCTCTCTCTCTCTATTCGCTCATCTCTATCTTCTCTTACTTTCTCCAATTATTATTTCATGGTATCAGAGCGCAGTGTTACATTTCTGGCATTTTGCAATTTTGGTGTTTAGTCCCATCCACAGCGGCACTACATCAAACCACTTGGAATTTCCTCACGATTCCAACGGCACCAAGCCCGGCCTCAGAAAACCTTTCACGCGCCCACACGCGCCGCCAGTGTCCACTGCGCGTCACCATTTCCGCCACCACTCTCACACGCGCCCGCACGCGCCATCCGTTGTTTCTCCCTTCCGACACGCGCCTACACGCGCCCACACGACCCGCGGCTGACGTCAGCCCTGCCTCTCCCGTACGCCGCGCCTGCTACTGTGCGCCTCTCGTGCGCCGTTTCACTACTGTGCACCCGCGTGCGCCGAATCCGTTACCGTGCGCCGCGTCTGCGCCTGCCGCTACCGTGCACCGCCGCTTCCTGCTAACGTGTTCCTTCCTGCACTCTGCTAACGTGCGCCGCTGACATATTTGCTGACATCATCTCTGTCCAGCATACCTTTCCTGGCTATTTTCGACCTTCCGGACTCACTGGTACACTCTGTTTTACCTAATTTTGCTCCTACAGGTCTATCATATTACTTTAAACCCTATTCAACTAGTATTATGGATCGTCATTTTCCTGCTTTATTTTTCTTTTTGCTAGTAGTTTGTAGCACTTTGCACATTGTTAGGCAGTTTTATTTTTTGTAAAACTTGTACCTTTGTTCGTTGTAAAGCATGATGGAATGAAATAGCTTTTGAAAAGGTGTTTGTATTTTAAACTTTTAGCATCGTATCGCATCATCTTATTTTGCAAAAAAAAAAAAAAAAAAAAAAAAAAAAAATTATAACAAACACGTCGGCCGGGTCTCATCCCCACTCTCTTATCTTTTTTAATCCCATTACCAAATGTGAATAGGTCAGTAAACTTCTTTTAGGCCATGGTGTAACTCATGTATAATGGTCTTCAAGCACTTAACAAATTATAGAGGCTCACTTTTATGCCTGAAATGGGTTTCTCAAAAATAAAAAATAAAAAAAAGTTAAATTGTATGTCGAGCAAGGTGTTAGAAAATAGATTAATGGATTTATCCAATTGTTCAGTTCTTTCATCTTAGGAGGCCGAATTTTCGAGTCAGGCTAAGGTTAAGTTTGGCAAGTTGAAAAAAAAGTTAAAAAAGTCAAAAAATTACTCAAAATGTTAAAAAGTTATCACTATTTATTAAAAGTCAAAAATTACGGTTGCACACACTAATTTATACAATTTTTTAATACATATTTTTTTATAAAAAGTCAAAAAATTAACCCAAACATCTATATTTTTTTCTCAATTTTTTAATTTAAAAAGATAAAAAATACACTTATTTAAAATATCCCAAATAATCTAAGTTAGTCATGGAAAATTCTGCCTATCTTGTCCCAGCGGCTGATGGAGATAGTCTTTGATTGATTGACAAGCACCTCAAAGGATAATGGAACATGGGTTGCACATTTGCCGTTGATCTTGGCTAATATGGCAACCTAATAATGCTCAACATTTTGGACTTATTCTAAAAATTCCAAAATTAACCATTGACAAGCACCTCAAAGGATAATGGAACATGAGTTCGACATTTTCACAACAAACAACACTTTTAGCAATTAAATTTTTAATACTCAAAAGTCACTTTTGAGTCGCCAAAACTTTTATCAACTAAATTTTTTGATTGCCAAATTAGTCACGAAATAATTGTCGGAAAAGATAATTGGCAACTAAAAAAGGTTTAGTCGCTGTAAGTCCTCTATTGGCGACTAATTTTTTAGTCACCCAAAGATTTCAAATAAAATTAATATTGCATTTTCAGCGACTAAAACTTTTTGTTGCCAAAAACTTTAATTATTTACAACGACAAAAGCTTTAGTCGCCAATTTTTTTTAGCTACTAAATGTTCTAGTCACCTAAAATCTAATTTGGTTTTAGCTACAAAAGTTTTAATCGCCTAAAGGTTAATTGCTTTTTTTTTTGGGCTACTAAAGTTTTAGTCGTCAAATTTTATTTTTTTGATTTTATTTATTTTAGCTACTAAAATCTTAGTTGCCTAAAGTCTACTTTTTTTTATGACTACTAAATATTTAGTCACCAAAAGATTTGTTTTCATTTTATTTTTTTTTTATCTACCAACTATTTAGTTGCTAAAAATATTTACTTCCTTTTCAGCTACCAATTATTTAGTCGCCAAAAATATCATTTTACGTTTTTTTTTTAAAAATAATTTGTCTACAGCCTATATGTATTCCGTGTAGCATGTACCATATATATAAACAAAACAATACATATATTATCAACCATTACACAATCTACATCCATTTCACTTACAACCATCCAAAAAAGAATAACTTTTAATTTCAAATTCCATACAAAGTAAGTATTTCCAATCTAAAATAATAATTCCATACAAAACAGAAAATCATACGAAAACCAAGTCCTCCGTACACAAAAAAATATATTCACTACCACGCCAAATGACAATTTGGCATGGTACAAATTACCATGGTAATCGGTTCACAGGAATCCTTCAAAAAATTCAATTAAACAAACAATTGCAGGACTGAGTTATTTAAGCTTAATGAGGCTAGTAAATTTTATTTTCTGTAGAAAAATTTAGAACTCGAAAGATGTGATTTTGTTGGAGACCTACCATCTTACCATTGCACCACATGAGGCCAAAGCTATTGAGGCCACTTGACTTTCCTGAGAAGATTAAGAAAACATATCAACACAAGATATGCAATGTCTCACATATCAATGAGAAATGGAAAGATGTTTTAAAAAAAAATAAATGTACCAATGTGAGCTAAAGAAACAAGATATATTGCTGTGTAGATATTTGAAATAAAAACAATAGCATAGCTGTAGGAGTCAAATGACATGTCCCGAGATCCTGCTACCAATGCACCAAGTACAATTATTTCCACACTGATGAGACGCTTGGAAGTTTCAACCGATGCACCAAGTATAATTATTTCCACACTGATGAGACGCTTGGAAGTTTCAACCGAGAAAGATGTCAGAAATATGAAATTTTATAGGTCAATTCCTATCAAATAAAAACCGCAAGGATTAAACAATCTGAATAACAAGTTTGTCATGCGTGTACAAATTTTCATAGGTTTATCTCTTTGAAGCTTGTGAAAAGCCTAATCAAATGTTTTGCACATGGGGGTTGCATCGCAACTACAATTTTTGTTCTCGTGTCAGTTTGTCCAAATTGTACTCTGCCTAATGCATCAGTATCATTGTTTCTTTAGCTAACAAATTAGAAATTGAGCCTCTACAATTTTTGTTCTCGTGTCAGTTTGTCCAAATTGTACTCTGCCTAATGCATCAGTATCATTGTTTCTTTAGCTAACAAATTAGAAATTGAGCCTCTAGCTTTGGTAATTATAGAGATCTATACATAAAACACTTTGTGATTTTATGAATAAAAAAGAAAAAAAAAAAAAGGCAGAACAAGTTCTTTTGGGTTTTTTCTTCAGAGTCATATATACCTTTAACGAGTTAAAGCTTCCATAATACCTGTTACTCTGCCTAATGCATCAGTATCATTGTTTCTTTAGCTAACAAATTAGAAATTGAGCCTCTAGCTTTGGTAATTATAGAGATCTATACATAAAACACTTTGTGATTTTATGAATAAAAAAGAAAAAAAAAAAAAGACAGAACAAGTTCTTTTGGGTTTTTTCTTCAGAGTCATATATACCTTTAAAGAGTTAAAGCTTCCATAATACCTGTCTAATTTTTTCTTTGTCTTGGCTAAAAATTCTTCAGCCTTTCCTAAGTGAGCAACTTCATTGCCATTAGCATTTATAAGTGCAAATCCATTTGTGTACTTTAACGCAAAACCCAAGTGAGCAAGGCATTTTCAAGTCATTAAGCTCTCTTATTTAGTAAGAGTAGAATTTAAAAAAACAATTTTTCTTTCTAATTGAGAGGATAAAAAATAGTATATTTGATTCATTTGCATAAGCGAGCAACACAAAAAGCATATGAGTAAACAGATGTGACGTAAATAAATATGCATAAGCTGTTGCACCCCAATCTTCCATCACAAACAACCATTAATCCATGAGAGATTCTAATAGGAAAAACAAAGGAGTAAAAAGTAAAACTTATAGACATCAAATATACAAGCCATTGATCAGTTCTAAATGTAAACCATCACATAATTCAGGGTTCCATGGCTTGAAACATATTCTAACTAATACCTAATAACTTATTATAAGCAAGGCCAAAGCCTAAGAAATAATTAACTCCATCAATATGATGTTGGCAGAGGTTTGGATCAGTTTATCTTGAAATTCATAATAGTGAACCATCTGGTAAATTATGACTAATTATGTAGAAGATTTGATGCATAGTAAAACAATTGGATTGCACCATACTGTATAATAAGTTTAAGGTCCCTCACATGAATCAGTAAATGGACCTGATTAGATAAAAAAAAAAAAGAAAAGGGTTCACTAACATTAAATTCAAATTGTGCAGTTTGGGAGTTGATCTCTTGACACAGTGAATGCCAAATCGCAGCTATATATATGATTTAATAGAATCAGTTCACTGCCACAAGAACACTCTAGACAGCATACATGGAAATCTCTCATTGAGTCCTCATTCGGTTACCTCACGTGGACATGGACTCTGTCAAAGCCTCAGGTTTCGAAGCAAAGAAGCAGGGCAAATTGGAGAATTTGATGTGTTAAATTCAAGTAGACCTGCTTCCATTCTTTTATATATAGGTTACAGATACATTTACAATGGGGGATTGTGCGGCAAAGTGTGTTCTGTATATGGCCTTTTCTTTATTAATATTCAACTATATATGAGATTAATATGTACACAGCTACCAAGTCATGTGCACAAGTAATAACGACAATCAATCACCACTAATACAAGCAGAGTTTCTAACTCAATAATGTGCAAGCTGGTCCATTCAACTAATTTAACGAAATAAGTCACCTGAAAGAGCGGTGATGACATTCACAGATGGGAAACTGTAAAAGGAAAGGGCTGCTTTGTTGAACATTACCAAGAGAACTGCATAACAGATGTCTAAGTGTGATCATAGTAGTTAAAAGAGAACTAGCAACCTCGTGCCACTATTAATAAGAACATATTAAGAATAGTATCGCAATCTTGACTCATCATCATATAAGTGTCCAATCATTCTCGAGTCATAATATCATGATATTGAAATTTGACTTTTTCGCAATGTTGTTTCAAGAAAAAGAGGTTTCCAAGATGCCAGAGAAAATTTTAAAAGAACCTGCTGAGCTTATACCTGCACACTTTGATCTTCTATTGCTGAAAGGATCTATTTCAATTTCCGAAGCATCTTTGATGCATGGATTCTTCATGAATGGATGAGGCATAACTCGACAGCGTAAAGCAACTTCTGATTGTGAAACATAACTATGAATCTTTTGAGATTTAGTTCCTACAGTTTTCTGTGTCGTGATTTCATCTGTTCCAAAAGCTTCTTTGGGAAGTTCTACTATTTGTTCATGGCAAGACAAGTTGGAACTGAAATCTGAACAAAACAAAAACAAAAAAAGGAGGAAAAAATTTATTCAAAATACGTAAATTAGACCAATCGGATGTGAAAATGTAATAGATCATGCTATAATAGCTAATGCGTACAGATGATAAGCTGCTGAGGTGAAAATGAAGTTGATAACCAGAGCAAAATGAAAAAATTAATAACAAAATGTCTAGCAATAAAAAAAGAATTAGTACAAATGCTTACAATATCATGTTATTGTTTCTTATAAAATCAAATAACAGAAAATGGCATTAATAACTTCTATTATGAACACATTGCTCATTCTAAAGGGGAAGAACTAATTTAAGATAGGTACACTATCAACCCTCATCGCATCCATAATATGATCAAGATCCCCAAGCAATAAAATTATTATTTTTTTAAAATCCAAGTCTTAATTTGATTCAATTCAACTCATACATAGAAAATGGCATTCTACCAATCAATACCAATTACGACATGAAATTGGAGTAGCACCCATGATACACATTAAAGCTCAAGCACAACATAACAATTAACCTTACCCTGCCTTTGCCTTTTGTTTTTAACAGTCTTAGTTTCTCTGGTGACTTGGGACGAGAAATATTTTATTGCATAAAAAAAGGTGTGAGTGAGTCAATCACAAAATCCAGCATTCAAATAAGAATAATGGCACGTATTCAACGAATACCTTGTCGCAATCCAAATTGGAGATATATTGACCATCCAAAGTGATATAGTCAGGAGTACTATTCCAAACAAACCATTCCAAGAGATAGTTAATCAATTCAATTGAATGTACATTACATCATTTGAGATAACATACAATCAAATCAACATTGAAAAATTGTTGCATATAGGATATGCACAAACATGTATTTGAGCAATCGATCAGAAACAAAAAAATGGCAGCATAATGTATATCAAAACCTTAGGGTTTGAAATCGAAATTGAGAAATAAGGAATTGGGAGTTACCAAAAGAAATCCTAACCGAGAATGAAATCTTTGTTGTCATTTGCGTTGGAATCAATGTCGATATTGAGGAAGTAGGTTACTAGAACAATAAATTAAAGTCAATAATATATTCATATAAAACCCTAGAGCAAGAGTCAGAAATGGGAAAATTGAGGAAGGGAGAGAGAGAGAGAGAGGGGAGGACAAAGAGAAGGAACATGTTTGTATTGCGGCGGCAGCGGTGGTGGCTGCGAATTGCGACGTATGGTGAACAACAATGGTGAGCGACTGTGGTGAGCTGAGGTGAGGCTTGGTGGTGACTGATTCTCTGAGAGAGAGAGAGAGAGAGAGAGAGGAATGATCTAAAATCTAGGCACCAATCTCAAATTTTTCTCACTAAAACTTTATAAACCATTTGCGACTAAATTGGTTTTTTGTCGGAAAATGTTAATTTATACTGACTAAATTATTTAGTAGCCAAAACCTTAACTAACGGAGACTAAAGTGCCGAGGCTTGGTGGTGAGAGAGAGAGAGAGAGAGAGAGAGAGGAATGATCTAAAATCTAGGCACCAATCTCAAATTTTTCTCACTAAAATTTTATAAACCATTTGCGACTAAATTGGTTTTTTGTCGGAAAATGTTAATTTATACTGACTAAATTATTTAGTAGCCAAAACCTTGACTAACGGAGACTAAATATTTTTTTAGTCGCCAAAAGTAGTAATTTGGCAACTAATTTTTTTGGTAGCCAAAGAGTAATAGTAAAATTATGGCTATTATTTGGCGACTAAATATTTTTTAGTCGGCCAAAATTAGTACACCATGACTAAAGCAAATTTTAGTATCCCAAAAACTAGACTAATGCCGATAATTTTTTTTTTAATGACCTATTGTGACATATTTAGCAACTAATTTTGTTTTAGTAACCAATAGACAACATACCTCGACTAAAAAAATTTAGTAGTTAAATCCTAAACCAACGCCGACCAAAATAATTTTTAGTCTCCAAAAATTGCACTTTTGGTAACTAAAAATCTTTTAGTCGCCAAATTTAATCGCCAAAAATGTAAGTTGTTGTAGTGTTGCTGTTGTTCTTGGCTAAAATGACAACCTAATAATGCCCTACATTTTGGACTTATTCTAAAAATTCCAATATTAGCAATTATCCGGGAAATTATTGACTATGAAATGTATTTATATATGCGATTTTTCACAATGAGCTTTTGCGTCAAAATAAAGTGCCGAGTTTTTGCATATTGAAAACCAGAATGAGGAACATGCTCGGGCTGAAGAAATTTGTAGGAATGGACAGATGGATTGGACCACGCATGATGGATTATAGTTTTTTTTTTTTTGGTGATGGTGGGAAGAGTTTGGTTTTTGAGATGGTTAATTTGTGATGAATATGAATTTAGTAATTGAGTTTGGAGTATGGTGGCTGAATGAACAGTACATGTTTGGTATAATATTGTGGATGAAATGAATGAACATGTTATCATATATTGTGCATAGGGGATTTTTTTTTTATTTTTTTTATTTTTTTATTTTTTTTAAGAAATAGAATTCATGAAAAGTTTTTGACCACGCAGTCTCTTTCATTACCAATTTAATTTTAAAGTATATTCATAGAAACTTATGTTTGTAAGAAATAGTATTTGGAAAAAGTTTTTGACGACACAATCTCTTTTAATGAAAATTTAGTTTTAAAAGTACATTATTTAAAATATATATAAAAAAATTAAAAAAAAAAAGAAGGCTGGCAATCTCTTTTAATGAAAATTTAGTTTTAAAAGTACATTATTTAAAATATATATAAAAAAATTAAAAAAAAAAAGAAGGTTGGCAATGAAAAGAGGCTACTTCGTAACTTTTGGTAATGCAGCCTTTTTCATTACCAATTTTTATTTTTACAAATTATAATTAAAAAGAAGGATTTTGATAATACGAAAAAGATATACATATGGTCCAACTTTGGAAGACTAAGGGTTATTCTGGTGATAAAGTACTTTCTTAGCAAACGTGATGTCTGAGTCATATTTTTACACAATTTCCTCTTAATGCTGATAAAGTTTTTTTTGTTATCGACAGAGTGCGAAAAGAAGAGTACTCTTATAGAATTAAAAAAAAAATTGATTTCTGTGTGCAATTCATGTAATTGGGCCTTTCTTTTTTGGTGCATATATTGGGTAGCGTTGGGTAGCACAAAGTCAAGACAAATTACTGACTTAAGGTGATGTTTCATCATTCTGTTCTAATCCCAACTAAAGGACAAAAGAGCAGTCTTGGAACACAATCTCTTGTCATTGTAGGCTTTGCGTAGCATCGGATACGCGTAGTTTTTTTTTAGAAAAATTATTTGTGTGGTTTAAACTCTTGTTGTTGGCATAATGGTACAATTTTATAGTTGTTCGTTTATGAATATGTTATTTTGGTAATATTTTAGATTCCGTTTAGAACGATTCTTAAGTAGGTTTTTTATCATTAAGTTCGCATATGGTGTTTGGGCTCAGGTTCGAGTCTAGTCTGAGACCCTAGACTAGGGCCTGAGCCATCACTTTGAAGTCTGGCTCGGCCCATCGGTCCGATTAAGGCCCATTCAAGCCTCGGTCCGAGGCCCGGTCCGCACCGAGGCCTAATGTTTTTTTTTGTAGAAAATAATAAAATTTTGGTAGAAAAAATTAAAAAGAATTAAAAAAAAATGGCTAGGCCCGCCCCGGGCCGCCCACGGGCCGTGGGTGGGTTTCGGGCAGCCACGAGGCACGAGCTAATTTTACACTCCTATCAATGTGAATGTTAACATGTCAATGTGAATATTCACATTGTCAACGGGCCGGGCCGGGCCCGCCCTGGGCCGCTAGTCAATTTTATACTCTTATCAATTTGAATGTTAATATGTCAATGTGAATATTCACATTGTCAACAGGCTGGGCCGAGCCCGCCCCGGGCCGTCCACGGCCCGTGGGCGGGTTTCGGGCAACCACGAGGCGCGGGCTAATTTTACACCCCTATCAATGTGAATGTTAACATGTCAATGTGAATATTCACATTGTCAACAGGCCAGGTCGGGCCCGCCCCGGGCCGCGGGCCAATTTTATACTCTTGACAATGTGAATATTATCAATGTGAATGTTAACATATCAATATGAATATTCACATTGTCAACGGGCAGGACCGGGCCCGCCCCAGGCCATCCATGGGCCGCGGGTGGGTTTCGCGCCGCCACGGGACGCGGGCCAATTTTACACTCCTATTAATATGAATGTTAACATGTCAATGTGAATATTCACATTGTCAATAGGCTTGGGCCGGGCCCGCCCCGGCCCGACTCAAATTTTTCCAAGCACCCACGAGGATCGACATGGGTCGGGTCCCTACACATTGACGATATGAACATTCACATTGACGGTGTGAACATTCACATTAGGGGTATTTTAGTAATTAAGTCACCCGTAGGACTTATTGAAACATAAGAAAATAATGTGAACTAAATGCAATATAAGTAGATGAAAAGGATATTTTGGTCTTCTTATCTCAAATAAGACCTAATGGAATAGTCAAAAAGAATATGGGTTTGATGGAATAAAACTCTTAGAAAGTGGATTTATCAAAAAAACTCCCTTCTTAAATACGTTTTCTATCATTAAGTTCGCATATGGTGTTTGGATAGAGTTGTGGAATTAATTTTCCACATTTTCGCAGAAAACTCTGTCAAACAGAGCGCGATTTTCAATTTTTTTTTTGAAATTTGGCCTAACCAGTCGTCCGGCTAGTTGACCGGAACAGTGATTTTTTTTTTTTTTTTTGCAATCGATATGTTAATTTTTATATATTCGAAAAAAATATTTTTTGAATTTTTTAAAAAAAATTATGTGCTTTAAAATAATTTTGAGTTGTATGTTTGGTTATAAGTTGTAAATTTTTGTATCAAATATCAAATGTCACATCAACAATTTCCCACCCAATTCAAAACTCTTTTCAAAACTCTTTACGCATGTGTTTGGCAAGTGGGTTTGCATGCTTTTTTGGCTATTTTAGCCACAAAAAACAAAATTGGCTATTTTAGCCATAACAAACAAAACATCACATCCAACCCATAATCATTACATTCTTCTCTCACAAAAAAACTCAAAAAAGTCAAAAAGCTCTTCTCAAACCAAGCTTTTAAACCCAGGCTAAAATAGCCAAAAAAGCCAAAAAGCCAACCCACTTCCCAAACGGAGGCTACCAAACAAATTTTTCATACTCAAATCATAATTCCAAACCTCACAAACTCAAAATACAACTCATACTCTCAAATCATAGTTACAAAACTCTACCAAATGCAACCTTAGTTTTTTTAACTAAAATATAAAGTAAAAAAATTATATTTGGGATGATTTTTGACTTTTTACGAAAAAATATACAAAAAGTATAAAGAAAAGAATCTTTGACTTTTTATACATGTTATTGAGAACTTGTTTGGAATCTGGATTGGTTTTGGTTATTTTAGTTTGGGGTTAAAAAATCTCGTTTGAAATAAGATTTTTAGTTTTTTTAACTTTTGTGAGAGAAAAAATAAAATAATTATGAGTTAAATATGACATTTTATCCTATTTAGCTAAAATAAAATATTTTGTCTTACATGGCTATTTTAGCCCAAATGTTCTTCCTAAACAGGCTCTGACTTTATAACTTTTTTAATAACAATTTGACTTTTAAATAAAAAGATTGACTTGCCAAACGTGATCGGCCCAATTACATTATAGTCATAATAGTACAATCTTTATCACTGCTCTAAGGCTCAACTACATAATGCTATTTAGGGGTAGTTTGGTAATGACTTTTTTAGTTGATTTTTTGGTTTTTTTGACTTTTTTAGCCTAAAACGTTTTTGTTTGTTTGGTTTTCTTGTTTGGCTTTTTGACATTTTGACATTGGAATGAAAAAATTGCCCTCCACTTGGAAATGATGTTTTTCTGACTTTTTGTTTGTACATGGGTTAGTTTGGTAATTTTGTAGTTTTTTTGTCTTTTTGTGATTTTGTAGCTTCTTTTTTTTTTTTTTTTTTTTTTGTTTTTTTAGCTTTTTTTTTTTTTTTTTTTTTTTTTTTTTTGTCTTTTTGTGATTATTTAGCCCAAATAATTTGCCAAATCAAGACTTAAAATTTGAATTCTTCTTTGGTAAGAACACGCCAGACCTGTTTGGTGCAGCAAGTTGAGAATCAAAAAACAAAAATTAAAATATCTCGCCCCTTGCTTTCAATAAAGCTTTTTAATTTTATTTAAGCTCATAAACGTGTAAGCATAAGTTATATCAAACATTTTAACACAAAATTTTTATTAAAAAAAAAAATTGAATAAGCAATTTCATAAAATACACCAAACAATTTTGCTATGTAGTGGAGATTGTTTTCATAATCTTGATATAGCTCCAATTCTGACTTCCACTTACTATTTCATCACTATTATTTTCACCCGAATATGGTGCTCTTTATCACAAAATTGGCAGACCATCACTTTCGTAGACTCCAGTTATGATCAGTCCAAGTCAAGATGCTAAAATCCAAAATTTCCTACACCATTGTTTTTCCAAACTTTGTTTACAGACTTCACATTATTATTTACAAAATTCACATTGTTGGAGATAGACAGTATGATTAGCTTTGACCAGTGCATATACTCGCACATTATGTCCAATTGATATCTTGTTTCTGTATATCTTCCCTTTCAAATGCACAACAACATAGTCTTAAATAATAGTATAAGGATATACGTATATATATTAGCGATATAATTATATATTAGTTGACAATTAATATATCAGTGAATATTAGCTGAAAATTAAACTCTGCAAGACAATCCGATCAACATGATATTTCATGATTTTGCGAGATAGCATGGAAAATATTATTTCATTAGCGAGAAAAGTTGCACAAAATTATTTAGCCACATGTTTTTTGGTGGACTTTTTTAATATGCTTTTGTGCATCCATGTGAAATGGGATCAAAACTTAATAATTTGATCAATGGTTGCAAGATTGCTTTGGAAAATGGCGTAATAAGCATCCTCTGATGGGTGTGCTGCATCCCAAAATACATACTCTGAGGCGTCAGCACAAACCGGAGTTGTTTCATTGCACTGTACTCCTATTTCATAAAGTCCAGTCCCACAACAACCTTTGTTTACTTCACTAAAATCTGTAAGAAAAACACCAAAAATAAGACAAAAAAATAATTGACAAAAGATTAAATAGTGGTGATTTCATAACAAAATTTCTTAATTCTAGCAAGGGCCAAAATTGCCGCTAAATGAACCAAAAACTGCTACTAAAGATTGAGAAATTTTACTAGCAGTCAGAAAAGTGTCGGCTAAACCGTTGCAACATACTAGTTGCTGGTCGGCATAATTTTATTGCAACACTTTTAAGGTATAAACTTTTGGAATACTTACATGCAGGTCTTAATAAGTGGACTTATTATCTAATAGGTCTTATGTGAAAAATTTGTCATAAAAAAATGTCACTAATTGTAAGTTTTAGCGACAATTTATAAAAATTATGATAAAAAAGTCACTAATTGTTAATTTTTAGCGACATATATAAAAAATTGTCACAAAAAAATTATTTTTAGCGATAATTTTACCAAGATTTATTTTTAATCGGATTTGATGAGAATTAAGTTTAACTATTAAGACCTATTGATAGTTTATCCTAAGCTTTTTATTGTGGCTTGCGGCAATTTGGAACAAAAGTGACATAAGAATTATCAACAACTAACCATATTCGTCGGGGTTCTGTATAATGTCGAGCAATGGTTGTTCAAAGTCAATGTAAGCAATCTTTGTGCCAAACTTTGGAAACTTGTTCTGCAGGGCCTTCAATTCATCCTGAAGCAACAAATTAAAATCTTTTGAAATGGCATTCACATATTCAACACAATTTCGTGCATCTTGCGAATTTCCTGGAGTTGGAGGAAGGCGAGTGATACCGATTGGGATGCAACCCAAAGGTGGAAGACCATTAACTGCGATTTTTCGAGCCCCTTGATACCATAATCCCTGTAAGCTAACAGAAGAAAAACTTGAATATATGTTCACTAGAAAGGAAAATTACAGGTTTCTCTAAATTCTAATGACCAAATCACAAGGATAAGAAATTATTATGTTGTAAGGGGAGTAAAGTGACATTTAATTTGTCTTTAGTGTCGATATGATTATTATAGTTTCAATTGTATTAGTTTTGTCTTTAATTTTTCACACTCTATCTATTTAGTGGGTGTTTGGGATTTATTTTTTGATGTCTTTTTTTATTGGCTTATTTTCATCTAACTTAAAAAATAAATAAATAAATAAATAAAAAAGGTATAGGCTTTTAGATTCTAACCGAAGAGCTGAATCGGAAAATAAAATTTAAAAAAAATCCAAAAAGTACAGAAAAGACAAAATAAGTAAAAAAATATTACACTTATTTTGGATTTTTTAAATTTTTATTGAAATTTTCATTATAAAAAAAAAAAAAAAGGTCAGTTTTTAGATTCATCTACACCAGATAAACTAGAAAAGTAAAAAAATTTGACAAAAGAGTTCAAATTAAGAGGTGACTTATTTAGCACTTCTCAAAGTCCAATTGATAATATGTGTTATGGAATTAGATAAAAATGTCCATTTATAAGGAAATAGTAATAGAACATTTAAAATTAGATGCTAACTCTTTTAAGAAAGGTGAATGGACTATTTTGCCCAAACTAATTTTGATAATTTTTGAAAATTCAATCTATAATTTGTAGCTGCTTTTTTATTTTTCTTTGGCTTTTATGTGGAATTAACATATGAGTTGTAAACAAAATTCCAATCTTATGTTTTTGGATCAAAACCAAACCTGAACAAATTGTTTGACACGTTTCAACAAGGATTGCTCATATTCCTCAGGAGTTATCTTTTGAGGAATTGATCCACTACTAGTAGTGGTTGGGTTTCCATCACCAAAATAACTGAGGGCAAAATCGTCCGATCCAGCATTGACATAAAAGAGAGCTCTCCTGATCTCTCTGTTGGCTATTCTTTTTCCAAGTTTCCTCTGGAGTTTGCCTTTGTACACTTTGAATTCCTCTAGCTGATCCAACATTGATGTTGCATTCTGAAACCGAGCCAGCACGAATTGAAAAATTCAGTTATAAATTAGTAGTAATTCTTATCACAATAATATTCCATGCGCGTTTGACTTTGAGTGCGAGAGAGAGACGCTTTTGTTAGTTGTAGAAGGGTCATAACCACTGGTGGCGGAGGCGAAACTAACTGCGGTGGGTTGCTCCGTCAAGTTAAGCATTGGGTCCATATATGGCCGCTGGTATTCTGACCCCAAGTAAATTGCTGCAAAAAATAAATAACTCAATAAATAACCATCATTACATATTCTGAATAAGGATTCTCTCCTTACCTTTCCTACTTCACCCTTCCTTGCAACGCTTGAGATTCACTTCAAGCGAATCCAACGGCTCAGATCGCTTTATTAAAAAAATTAAAAATTAAAATATAAATTTTTTGAGGTGATCTGAGCCATTGGATTCTTTTAGGATGAATCTTGATCGTTGTAAGGATGGAGCCAAGTAAAGAAGGCAAGAAGAGGATTCTACTCTTAAAACTATTTAACATTAATTCACTTTTGCATAACATTTATATAAAATGTGTGGTATTATTTTATTTATTTTCTAATACTAAAAAATTAGAATATAAAAAAGTATTAAAATATAAATTTTGATCGTTTCAATTTTGTATCTGATTGAATTTTAGTTTTCTTGATTTTTCTTAAAACTTTAGGTTTGATTTTCAATTGATACTTCTAAGATAAAGTGACACAAGTGTAATAATTTGAAAAAATAATCTTTGTTTGCTAAGAGTTATTTGTTTACTAAGAGTAAAGGGTAAAGGGAATTTGTTTAAAAATAAACTAAGTTTGAAGGAAAGGGTAAAGGGAATTTGTTTACTAAGAGTTATTTATTAAACTTTGTTTTTAAAATTCAAATAATAACCTTAAAGTTGTGTTTTCACAACACAATTAATTTCAGTAATTAAAATTTTTGAGATTTTTGCATCTATAAATGCAAATAAATGTGAGCAGTTGATAATTTCGGTAATTAAAATTTTTGATACACTTTATCTTTTCCCTTTAAAATAATAATGTGGGTTTCATCAAAAGCTCTACCTATGACATTACACATTATGCATGAAAACAATTCACAACCCACCAACAAAATCAGGGAAGAGCTTCCCATTAGAAAACCTCCCCGTCGGCTGCTTGTTCACAAAATCTCTACCGTAAGGCGGAAAATTGCTCTTAGCAACGTTGGGTAAGTAATTATTGTTTCCAGGATCAACAAATGAGTCCCCAAACGAGTAAACAGATCGAAACAAGTACTTCAAAGTTCTCGGAGGCTCATCTTGAGCTTTAGAAACAAAAAACACCACAAAGAGACACAAAAGTGAATGTTTATATGGACTCATAATAGAGAGAAATAACAGAAGTGAGATGATGATAGTGAAGTGGGTTTTTCTTGTTCAGTGCATTTTTTGGACTGGTTTTGCTTGGGAATTTATAGTGAAGGTGACCACGATGAAGCAAAGAATGTAGGAAGACAGAAGTGCCCATAGTCAAATGAGATTTATCTCTTTTAGCACCACCTATAGTACAAAAATTGAAAAACAAACCTTGGTGGGAGGGCATGTTGGATTAGTGGTGTGTCTACTAATTTTCAATCAGAAACCTCATAGACTCCAATTGCATAGGTCGTAGCCAATGAGGATTTTAAATGGAGTAATTCGTGCTGTCTCGTTTGGGAACATGTTATTTTAATAATTTTTTTGATTATTTTGTTAAAATATGAGATAAAAAAATTTAATATGTTTGGGATGAATTTTTAATTTTTTACAAAAAAGATATGCAAAAAAAAAAAAAAATAGAAAAAATAGAATTTTTGACTTTTTTGTATAATTTTTTGTTGGATTTTTAAACTTTTTAACTAACTTTTTAACTTTTAGACTACAATGTGATGTTACCAAATGAGGTCAAAGGGTTAAAAACTATACGGATGATTTAAAAGGGCCCTTGCAACTTTAGGGTGAGTAATGTCTCGTTTGGCAATTACATATTTTAGTTAAAAAGTTAAAAAATTATTATAAATTGTCATATTACTGTTTCTACTTTTTTGTATATGTTTTCCTAAAAAGCTAACAAGTTATTAAAATAGTCTGTTTTCAAACGAAGCATAAATATATAATTTTTTCATTTTTCATTCCCTTTTGAGGTTGGCCTCAAGATTTTGGCGAAATAAAATTACACAAAATTATATTCCACATATGTTAAATTTGATATTTCTGTATGGTTGTAATGAAAATCCCCCTTACATCATTAATGATGGTAAAACAATCCCATTCAAACACAAAATTCGTTCACAATATTCAAAAGAAAGTAATAAAATCCACTTAAGTGTTGTTTGTTTGGAGGGATTGGAGGGTGAGATAGGATTAAAGGTTGTGATAGAATTTATATCCGTTATTTGATTTTTCAATTTTGCTCCGGATTATTAGTCCCAAATGTATTGGACTATTGTGTCCCATGGGGTGGGGGTGGGACACAAATGCGGAGATAAAGAGGATATGAGATTATGTGGTGAAATGACCAGTTTGACCCTCCACTAGTTAATTATGTATTATATTTAGTAAAATTCAATAAAATTTAAATGTCTCAATTTAAAATTAAAATTATTTTATTTAATTTCATTATTTAATTATTATTATTATTTAAAATAAATTTATTTAAAATTTTAATTAAAAAAAATAACATATATTTTATTGATATTTTATTTATTTAATTTGTTTAATTTTAAAAAAATAAATTTATTTAATTGTGTAAAAAATAAAATAAAATAAATTTTTATTTAATATTTCGGTATTTCCTGCCAGTACATCGGTTTAAGCCGAGCTCACCACTATAGGCCGACATATCTTCTTAAAAATCAAGAATTCTAAGAGCTTTTTCACGCGTATGAGCTGTCATGCATCACAATTCAACCGTTTCAGCCACGTGTCCTTCTCTTACTGGATCGTACTTGGTACGTGCTTCTTAATCGTCTCGCGCATGCATGCGCCGTCTGACGCTCACGTTGTTTTAGGTGCATTAATTCTGTTTTGCCACCGTTTCAAGTTTTAACAAAACTTTTTCTTTCCTTATTTTCTCACTTTTCTCCATCGTCTCTGAAGCTTTCTCTCTCTAGCCTTTTCAAATCTTCCATTGTTTCAAGCTTTCAAGCTTTGCCATCGCTGTTGTTCACCTCTTCCGGCGTGGTTTTCACCGATCTTTCGCCTTCGCAACCGTCGTCAGACTTCGGCAATCCCCATTCTGGCTTCCCTCTTTCTGGTAAGCCACTATTCCTCCTGGTTTCAGTTTCTTGTTACCTTACTGAACTTTACTATCTTACCTGTTGTCTTTGCAATCTTGTTCATATTTTTGATATTTCATATTGCATTTTGTATTCCACCATGTATTTGAACTTGTTTGTTTCATGATTCTGTTTTTACCCAAATCATCTTCTTGAATATACACTGTTCACACTCCTGTTGATTTCTGCCACTATTCTTGGCCTGTTACCCTTCTGAGAGGGTGATTTATGATCTGGAGTTGGGTCGAGGTATCGACCGAGCAGGTTGAGAGCCCAGCAGTGCATTGGGCCGAGATGATCGACCGTTCGCCCAGAGAAGGGCTGCCAGAACTTGGGCTGGGAAGAACTTGGTCCGAGTGCGTCCCGTCCAAGACCGTAAAGAAGCAGCTCGGTAAGGCAGAGCTCGGTTGGACCAGGATGCTCGGTCCGAGATTAGCCGAAGCCAGACAAGCCGAGTGACCGACGCCCGGAATGGCACGGTCGGCCGAGGTTAATGTTTGACCGACGTGAAAGCTGACCACGGGGTGCTTCGGGCTAGGCTTTGCCGAGATGCCGCCTAGCCCGGTCCCCCCTTGGAGTTTGCCAAGGAAGCACTTGGGTATGAAGCACGGCACGGCGCAGCAACGCATAGGGCAGCTCGGCTGCCGAGCTCCAGCTGTGATGACAGGCAGATGAGATTAGGTGATGTTCAGCAAGGTTTGTGCTGACAGATGGGATAGCAGAGCCACGTGTCAGGAGATGACTGGGAGTGGATATGGAGCGCAGAAGGTATATAGCATGTCTGCGCCCCCCATACGCGACACACGAACATCTCTGTAAGGACTTCTTACACTCAAACACTCTCTCCCTTCTCTCTATCCATCCTAAGGTGTGTGCTAACTTGACCGTCGGAGGGTTTTTCCGGCCACACACCGCCAGGTAGCTCACCATTACTTGCTCACAGGTGATCGGACATCGACGGAGCTCGGAAGAAAGGAATACAGGCTTGCCGGAATATTTGCTCCCCGTACACCTTCGTATTTACAATGTTCTTGATAGTCCATCTCTGTTCTTGATTCTGAAGCGCATTCTTGCTTTTCTGTTTTCTAGATTTGTGTATTCAATCTTCGTTTTCATAGATCTAGGTTTGAGATTTTCTTGTAGAACCCTTTATTATCAGGAAAAACTGAAACTATTTCCACAAATTCTTACCCAGCACATAATTTTGGTTTTTGCCGAGGTCCCAATAACCCTTTTAAAACACCTTTCTGAAATCCAACCCCTTCAGTTAAGCCGATACCATGGGTATGTGGAAGCATATGGTAGACACCCTGACAAAATTAGAATACTTTAGGCGAGAGTTTTCCATCCCTGCCGACGTCCATCTGAGGTTGGCTGGGGATGACGACTCTATCATGCCCGATGTAAACCTCATGCCTTTCCCAGTAGTAGCATTTATTGAGTGTGGACTTAGGTTTTCACTTGACCCTTTTTTCTGTGAAATCCTCCATTTCTATAGGTTGAACCCAATGTAACTTGCAATCAATTCATACCGAATTATTAATGGTACCATAGCCTTAGCCAAACAAGAGAATGCTAGGAGTACTCTTGCCGATTTCCAGTACTGTTATACCACCTGTCGCCTGAAATCAGAAAAAGGCCACATTTATTACCTCAAGCCGAGGTCCACGAAATACAAATTGTTGCCAACCTCCCTAACTCCAACAAGGAAGCGGGTGATGATTATTCATCGTTTCGGGTAACTAGGGGTTTCAGCCAAACGATGACCTCCATCTTTATCCCCTAAGTCGAACAGTTTTCGGGGAAGGAGCTGGTAAAGGCCACCCTTCACAAATTTTCTTGCTTTCTTGCATAAAGTTTTCAACATTCTGCTCTAATGTCTACGCATTTTTCTTTTTTGCAGTTCTTCCTCAGCCACCAAAGGGCTTTCGTCAGTCTTTCTTTCCCAGAAAAGACTTGAAGAAACTACTGAACTTGCCAGTCCACAAGCGGAAGGCCTCTCTGCTTCTCAACTTTATCCCCACTTATAAGTCGGCTCTTCCTAACGTCCCAAAAAAGAAGAAGAAAAGCCTTTCTCCACCTTCTGCCACAACTCCATAAGTCGCGTCCACATCTCGAACAGACCAAGGATCAACCTCTGATCCAGCTGAGCAGCCGTCAACCTCGACCCCATACCTGATCCCACCATCTCAGCGACAACGTCGGCAACGAACTATTTTTTCTTCCGAGATGGACTGCCAGAAAGCTATCGCAAAAGACCACTTAGCCAGCATCCCTTCTGACGTTAACGTTCAACCAATACAAACCCAGCCTCTACCAAAGTAAAAAAGAATAAAAAAGGCTCAACCAAAGGCAAATGTGACTCAGGTTGATACTGAGGACACCTTGCCAATTTCCAAATTGGCTGAGAGTGAGAAGACTGCCTCTGTCCCCGAGAAGAGATCTGCTGAAACACACCCATCTGAATCCATCAGATCAAAAAGGCCGAGGTCATCTTCTGCAACGACCTCGGGGTCTCAAAAGCCCCCTGGCCCCCCCGAATCACATTGGAGGATAAGCTAGTTATGGCTAGCAACAGTGCCGACAACATTAATGTCGGCGTTGCCCTTAGTACTGCTCTGCTTCTTCCCGGCGATCTCGATAAAAACGCCGAGCTGAGCGAGTATGAAAACTATACACTGATGCTCTAGCACTCTGTTCAGGTAAGTCTCTTTATTGGGAAATTTTCCTTTCTTTTTCTTCATTACATACTTACAATATTTTCTAATAACTTTTATTTACTTTCAGGCCATCCAGCATGCTCATTCTTTCTCAGTACAATCTTTCCAGAACCGGGAGAAGCTGGCTGAGAAGAAGAGGGAGGTCTCCAATCTGCAAAAGACTAACAAAAATTTGCAGTCAAAGATGAAGACTATGGAGGATCAAGTCGAGGCTGCTATCAAAGCTCAAAACGACGCCGAAGAAAAGGCGGACTCTGCTGAGGCCATCAAGAAGGTGCTTGAGGCCGAAAAGAAGGATACTGAGAAAAAAACGGCCCAGGCCCAAAAAGAATTGCAAGACACTCTGGCCACAAAAGAGGCCGAAGTCAAGGCAGCCGATGAGAAGGGCTACAACGAAGGGG